ATATATATATATATATATATATACTGTATATACACACACACACAGACAGCATGTACAGTAGATAGGGAATATGAAAGATGTCAGAATAGCCTCTGCTCCTTTTCCGGCAGTGTAAATTAGATGTGAACCAGCATGCGGCCGATGTCAAAGGAAAGTACACCTATCCCATCGGGGCTGGCTAACTTATCACGACTCCGCGCGCTACAGCTCGGCAGATGAGTGCAGTGTGAGCGTGTGTTTAAAGCTTAATGAAAGTGGCCCTCTGAAGGTCAGCGCAGAGCGAGCTGGGACTGTTACGTCTGCCTCTAATGGGGTATTAATGATTCAAAGATGTTTCAGTGTCTCGTGCGCAGACTGCACACTACCCACCACCACCCGAGCCCCCCGCAGTCTCGCACACCCAACTAACCACCCGTGCAGGCACGCACTGACTAAAAAAAAGACAGTTAAATACGGGACAAAGAAAATGATGCAGATGCGTAGCAAGTTTGACAAGAGGACTAGTGTGTGTGTATAGGCGGAAACGTGTTGCATTTTTCAGTAGGTTGAGGAGGTTTGATAGGAGTGACAAATGGTTTCACAAGCCTTAAATGACCAAATTTAGATTTCATTAACCAGCTTTGATTGATTATCCCCACACTAACCATTCACGTGATCAACACTTCTCTGAATTTGATAGGTATTTAATAAGGCACTGAGAACATTGTGAAAATAAATTAAGTTCAGGCCAATTAGATCAGGTAGAAAATTAATTTACACTGTGAAAGATGGAGCAGAATGTGCCTCTAAAGAAATATTTATGAGGTAGTTATTGTTCGATTCTTCACGGTTGTGATAATTAGAACGGGAGTGAATTAATCAAACGACACTGAAGGTGTACTCAGTGTTAACATTACTTTGTCTGCTCTATCAGAGGAATTTAAAATGTTTGCAGGTTTCTCAGGCAATGATTTAACTGGGTGAAGAAAAAAGAATACAACTGCATTCTAATGAACATACTGTTTGTAAAATGACTGAAAGATTTGCTCAGAATATTTATGACTTTATCATGGTTTGGAAACTGCAGCTTCACAACCGAGCTGATAATTTCCTTTAACGTTTTTCTTTGCTCTTCTCTACGAGTTTTGTTCATGGAAGTAGCGGGATTTGTTGATGGTGACAATGTGCGAGGGGCGCAGAGGGGGTGCGTGTGGGCTTTTCCATCCCGCCTCTGGACAATGAGCTTACCTTGAATGTGGACATGGCGGGGTCCCTGTTATACCTGTCTATGGTGTGGAACTTGGACGAGTGGTTGAGCTCATGGTACAACTCAGAGTGTCTTTTGCGAGTGTGCATCACTTTCTGAAAAGGAAAACAAAAAAAAGGAAGGGACAGCAAAAATGAATAGAAATGAAAAGTAAAAAAAAATGGAGGTTGTATGACAGGGGTTAAAGTATGGGACAGATGGGAGAATGAGTAAAAGGCTGAGGGACTGCAGCAATGCCAGCCATGAAGAGGGAGTTAGAGAGGGATGCGGACAGGTCAATCGATTGCTGACTCATGCTCATCTACAGTATTATCCACTTCCTCGGTATTTTGGAATTTGGCAATTGGCTTGGTGCAGAGGAGTCCTTTAAACATAAATCTGGTTACAACTGCTGACAAAAATGCATTTGGCACCAGCTGAAAAAAGGACATGTTAATTCCAGGATTTATCAAACTCATTGTAAATCTATCAATGAGCAGTCTTTTAACCGGTGAAAATAAATGAACAAATAAAATAACAAAACCTGTGTTATTTATTTATTTATTTATTTATTTATTTATTTATTTATTTATTTATTTATCTGTTTATTTGGTTAGTAAGTTAGTTGTTTATATAGAAAAATTTCCTATCATTATGATCGAATATATGTCTGCAGTTTCCTCACAGTACTTTTGTTAGTATATTATAGGGCAGTGCTTTAGCTGCTAGGTGTTGACTAAACATCAAAGCAAGCAAGTTTTTGAGTTTACAAAGGACACAGGGGCAAGATGCCAACACTCCCATCCACCCACTTAATTACCAGTACAAGAGCTTAGAACCTGCATCAAGTACTTCAGAAAAGGCATTTTTTTGCTCCTTAAAAAATCACCACTACCTCCTCATTAAAGGCACAGTGTGTAGGATTTGTTGTTCTCAGCGACATCTAGTGGTTGAGTGATTGAATCATCCTCCCTGGTCCTCCCCCCACCCCCAACCCCCGCTTCCAAATGCAAAGGAGTTGCTACGGTGTATCTCAGGTGTCAAAAACCTTTGATAATTCCAACCGCAATGTCTACCAGCAGCTTCAGGTCTAGTGATGTTTCAAGTGGTAAGATTATGAGCTTTAATAACCGTTTTTGACGCCGCCACCGCAGTTTGTCCTTCATGAGCCTTCGTAGACAAGATGGCAGTGCAAGATGGTGGCTGCCTGTAGTGGCGACCCGCGACCATGGAGATATAAACAGCCTTTTATAAGGTAAAAATAATGAAACAAGGTCTTTGTCTGCAATGATAAGACATGTTTTTTATTATTGTCATTAGTGATTATCTCAATTTCAACTAAAATAATTGACAAAATCCTGCACACTGTGCCTTTAAGTATATTTGTATTTTGGGATTATTAAAAAAAAAATAAACGTAAACTCCATCTCCAAGAGATTGCCAAAAGAACAGTGAGTGTACAAACACTGCTGATGTGCTAAAACTCTGATCAAGCACTTTCTGATAAATACATACATAAAACTGTCAGAGGAAAGCAGATCCTAGCTTCTGCATGAGTTTTATTAGCTCAAATTGAAGATTGTGCACTTTTTATAGTGTTTATTTTAACTTTTAAGTTGGTTATACCACTCTGAAAATTGCAACCATAGACGACTCTCCAGAACCGTTGCCATACAGCTAAAATCATCCGCGATTATCCTTGTTAGTGGACTGCCATCACTCATACTCTCTGTGGTAAGCACTGTCTCCACGATGGGAAATGAATGTCCAGTCTTCACAGAAGTAAAAAAAAAAAAAAAAAAAAGAAAAAAAGGAGATGCAGTTCTTGCAAAAAATGTAAAACAAAAAGCAGCATCAAGAATTATATTTTCGTGTGAAGAGACTTTGCGAGAGACTGGAGATTCACAAGACAGCTGGGTCGTTCTGACACAAAACCCTCCATCGCAGATTGTCGTACAATCGCGCTCCAACCTGCAAAAATCAACTGAGGGCACGTGCTAAATGTTCTGACCCAGAATTCAGTCACGAGAATTCAACCAGACACATGAAGCACTCTACTTTGCTGTTTCTTCAACCAGGACCACCTAAGATGTGACACTCTTCTGATTGGATTGTGCATATCAGTAGAATTTTCTGTTTCGTTCAGTCTTTTGTGCGTAAGCTCTTTCTTTATGTGAGACAGTTTGAGGCCATCGTTGGAGAAAGAGCATAGAGCAGCTTGGTAACAATTTATATCTCTAAGTGCAAGGGACGACATGTACAAAGGAGTGCGGGGGTGGGGGTTAAGCAGTGCTTTTTACTCCTATGTGTTACTCGTGTCCTGGCAGAAGCACAAGAAAGCAGAGACAGGCTGTTGACAGGGGATGAGGTCGGACATCTTACCTCGAAGTCCAGCTCAGAGTACCGTACTCTTTTCCTCTGGAAGAGGAGGGGGCAGGGGGAGAGAAGACAGCATCAATGACCACCCCGTGACCCCATGTTGAACATTCGTGGTCTCAATCTTTTTTGTTTGTTTGCTTGTTTTTTTGCGACCTCTCAGTGCCATTGTTCAGTGAAAGAGCTGGACTAATATATACCAGTTGCCCAACATAATACAGATATTAGAAATGTCAAGGCAGGAAGCAAATTATTTCCGTGGAATGAGATTAACAAAGTCAAATAACCCAGAATTGCAACAAGATAATAGTTTCTCCACTCATGTCATTTCAATGCATTTACTACTATTGTGGCAAATCCTTCTTTTGGCTATTTTTTAAAGAATTTGTAGGGGACATTATGCTTAAGAGAAAGATGCAAAACACATAAGAGATGGTTTTCTTTCCCTGATCTTGTTTGGAACCTAATGCTCTCATTTTAAGTACCTCCGCAGCCTTAGCAAGTGGCACACAAAACCCCATTTTAACAGCTGCAGACATTTCCAACTCATCTGGCCCTCACATTGTGCTGAATTGCATTCCATTTCTTTACTTTCTATCTGGCTCTCGCTGTCTGGTAGATTTGCATTTGGCACAGAGGGGAGCAGCTCTCCACAGTTAGTTAAAAGCTGTATTCATTTCTTCGAAAGAGCGGAGTTGCTGATCTGATGCAATGGCAGACAGGGATTTAAAAAAAAGTAAAAGAAAACCACTCATGGAGAGGAAGGTCGCTCCCCGAGGTGCCCTACTCACATTCTGCATTCAGCCATTATACTTTAGAAAACCAAATGCAATTACCTCCCCCCCCACCCCCCCACCCACATCCTATGAAGAAATCCTTACCTTACAGACAGCCTCTCAATGATTGAGTTATGTAATATGAGGCTTAAGCAACATGTATATACAGAAGCTGTATATTGCATGTTTTGGTGAGGACACACAGAAAGCAGTCATTGACTCACTCATATGCAATTCAAGCAGAATCCTTTTCCTTTTGTGATTTGATGTCATAGAAACATGTTTTTGTTTGCTTGTTTCTTCACATTTGCGTACCGTCTCTTGGACGACAACACTTTTGTTGATTACAGCATGTCAAAGAAATAGCTGTTTGAATTAAGCAAATGTGGAGAGATTATTAGTAAATATTGCTTTATCTTACCTGCTGCAGACAGCTCTTTGACCAGCCTCAGTTGTGAGAAGTAAAGTTCACATTTTACAGGACTGACAGCCTAATGGCTAGCCAGAAAACAAGTAAAACCATTTGGGAATGCTGTCATCTTAACTCAACTATAATTAAAAAAAGAAAAAAAAAACTAAACATTTTATGCAGTCTTTAATTGATGAATCATTAGACCACTCTCAATTGTTTTGAAGGCACAGTGTGTGGGATTTGTTGTTTTCAGRGACATCTAGTGGTTGAGTGGTTGAATCATCCTCCTTGGTCCTCCCCCCACCCCCACCTCCCGCTTCCAAACGCAAATGATTTGCTACAGTGTCTCTCAGGTGTCAAAAACCTTTGATAATTCCAACTGTGATGTCTACCAGCAGCTTCAGGGCTAGTGATGTTTCAAGTGGTAAGATTATGAGCTTTAATAAGTAAAATTATTCCAGCTACAATGAAAGACAACAATAATTACATTTATAGTATTCCAACTAAAACCGTTTTTGACGCCGCCACCGCAGTTTGTCCTTCATGAGCCTTCGTAGACAAGATGGCAGTGCAAAATGGCGGCTGCCTGTGTGGCGACCCGCGACTATGGAGATATGAACAGCTTTTTATAAGGTAAAAATAATAAAACAAGGTCTTTGTCTGCAATGATTGGACATGTTTTTTTTTTATTATTGTCATTAGTGATTATCTCAATTTCGGCTAAAATAATTGACAAAATCCTACACACTGTGCCTTTAAGATCTGCTTTGGCAGTTGGTCCAATTTTAAGATTACAGACCAAGTGGATCACCCATCAGAATGAATTTATCTTACTATAACTCAAATCGTTGACATGCCATTGAAGTTCATGGAAGTTATATTATTTAAACCTTTACACTAACACCAAATTTGCATTAGCATACATGTCAACCTGTTCGGGAATTTACCTGTCTCTTGACCCTCAAAAAATAGCAATTTTCACACAAATCCGTAGTGCTCACATGTGCTACAATGTGGGGAGGGGTTTGTATGCGTGTGGAACCAAGGCGAGCAGACTTTCAGTCATGGGGAAAATAAGAACGTGGGACAGAGATATGTGAAGCAGAGGAGCAGGGAAAGGAGGATGAGGAAGAGGTGGCAAACTTATTTCTAATGGCAAAGCAGGTTGGGTGATGGTTATTTTTTTTCTAACGTCCTACATGCTCTAAGACAGAGATTCTTAACCTGTGGGCTGCAAGCACCACCTTGAGGGCCTCAAAAAAACAATAGTTTTTAATGTTGGGCCGCAGAGGGCCATGGGACTACATTGATTTTGAACAAGGTGCAATGCACTTTCTCACCACTAGTAGCAGTAGTGCACCACTCAAATGTTTAACAACTTGTTTAACATGTAGAAAAAGAACCTGCCGAGAATGGAAACCTATTTTAAAGGAAAAGTAGAAGCAAAAATGTCCTGATGCATCTCAGTAATCCAGGTAAAAATCAAAAAGAAAAAAAATGTATAGGTCTTCTGGACGGGTTCTTCTCTAATGAAACATTTCGCCTCTCCGCCAAGAGACTTCTTCAGTCTGAGAGTGTCAGGCAAAATTCAGGCTTTTAAGCACAGCCTCCATGTGACTGATACTCACATCACATGACCATCGTTCACCCTAATTAACACGTATTGTTAAC